TCCAAAATCTCATGATAACCTCTCTAATGTCTACGGTTACTACGGCCATCAGATTTTGTATGAATATTTCTCGAATAACATTACTAAAACCGTTTACGTTCATGAGATTTTACCTTTTACCTTTATTTTATTATTGGAATAATGATTTTCTGTTAATACCGTTGTTATACATTTTTATAAATCTGTGTATTAAAAATTTTCGTCAACAAACTAAAATAAATTATAATTCTAAGATATGCTTTAATTTTGCATTAGATTTCTTCTTGTGACTAGACTTATTAAATCCTATTGTTGTTTTTTCTGTGCTTCACAAATGAGAAAGAATACTTGGGAGAATAGTATCGGTCAGTAAATCTACTGTTAATTTTAACAGTTACACACTTACCATGCAAATTATACAGGCAAATATCAATAGTACATATTGTTCATTTTAATGAAAATCTCTTGTGTTTTTGTTTACAAATGTGTGGCAGAATTTTAACATTCATAGTGAGGATTAAAAGATTAACTCAGGGGAAAAGAGAACAAACTATAAACAAAAATAAAACTAGAAATGGAATTTTAGATAATAAATATAATTATATACACCCCTTTAATCGAGGCTCCTGTCCAAAGTTGGAGGGGCTATCAAAAGACATATATTTTTTAGGGTATGTTTCACATCAAGAATTTTCATTCAAGGGTGAGGTTGATAGGTGTGCGGCTCACGGGTTTTTCGATGGATCCTCATCAGCTTGATATATAGATACTTCGACTAAAACTTAACCTAATTGTCGGATATTTTATATGATCTTGCAAAAAATATTGGTTTTAATTAGCTGTGTGATAACTCTTTTTCTAATGCATAATTTGTGTATTAAAAAATATAATTAAATAATAATCAAAATGAAAAAGGAGTATAAAAAATAAACAAAGGGCAAATAAAGTTGGCGTAAAAGATTAAATGTAGATTAGGAGACGAGCAATACAAGGATAAGTTATTCTAAGATAATTTATTTCACGTAAGAATATGGAAGCAAAATAAGTAGCTTTAGAACATTAAATAATATCTAAGTATTTTCTCATACAAAACTGATCTGGCATACCTACTTTTAATGTTTAACAAATGGAATAACACATTTAAGCTAATGACATTTTTTGAGCACGTAACATTAGAAAATGTTTCAAATGTAATGTTGTATATAAATAGTATATCTATATAGGATACAATTTTAGATATGACAACATATTTAAATTTATTTAAATCCAAACATCCATCTGATAAAAACCAGCATATAATACATATAATGCTAGTCAGTGAAAACTTACAAAGAAAATACCAACTCTTCGTATAAAAATATCGCTAGTATGTTATCTCAGGCTGGCTGAAAGTTGCTTTGCCAACTTCCGCAGTCATTTCCTTTCCATATCAGATACGAATTTCCGTGACGTCATCATCCGTTACCAATATAAACCTTATAAAAAACATCACACAAATAATAACGTTTATCAATTAAAGTTATTAATCACACGGTGAGCTGAATTTTCAGATTTTTTTTACCTTTGACGTCTAATTTAATAAAGCAAAAATTTAATTTTTTTGTATTAATTTATATACTGTTTTGTATTCAATAGATGTATTATAAGAAGTCATTGTTGAATTGTATGCAGTTTAAAAGGAGCTGATCAATAAAACCAGTTTATGGCTTTTGTTAGGCTACTTATAATGACAAGATTATTACTTTGTTGTTGTATGACAACATTATTATTTTACATTAAAGTTATAAAATATAATATTGGGTAGAAATAAAAAATATATGTACTCAAAATAGAAGCTGAAGATTTATAGAGTCATTTTTATTTCAAACCTAGGCTGATATATAGTTTAATCGATCATAGTTTCTCTCAATAAATATTTTCTTAAGGGAAAATAATTACTGGGACGTATAGTCTATATACAATCAATATGACCCATTAGTTCAAGAACTCCTAACAGCAAGTGGAGCTCTGGTAGAACAGCATAATTAATATATCAATTTATTAAATTAATATATACAGGGTGGTAAAAAAGTCCCAGGACAGTTAAATATTTTAAAAAATAATGTAGATAGAGCTACAAACTTGGTACAAACTTACAGGGCATAAAACTCTATTTTAACACGTATTTATTGATCCAATAACTCTTCAGGGGGACGGCCCACAAGGAGTCGGAAGAAAATCTTAAAGGAAGCATAGGTAAATATGCACATCAAATTAAAGGTATTTTTTTAGAAGAATACAATGCCACAAACCGCACTTCAAAAGGTTGATCCTGCGCAAAATGGTAGATGTTCAAAGATTTCTTGAATCCGCCATTTTGAATCTTTGAACGACTGCCATTTTTTACTCAGTCATTCTTTTGAGCTTGAATTTACGGCATCGTAATCTACTAGTGAAGACCTTTAATTTGATGTGCATATCGACCTATGCTTACGGTAACAATTTTTCTTCCGATTCCTAGGGCTGTGCCCCCTGAGGAGTAAGCGTATAATAGCAATGTAAATTAAATAAATCTTTAAACAACTGTCATTTTGCGCAGGATCAACCTTTTGAAGTGCGGTTTGTGGCATTGTATTCTACTAAAGAAGACCTTTAATTTGATGTGCATATTGACCTATGAATCCATTTAAGATTTTCTTCCGACTCCTTGTGGGCCGTCCCCCTGAAGAGTTATTGGATCACTGAATATATGTTAAAATAGAGTTTTATGTCCTGTAACTTTTTACCAAGTATTGTAGCTCTATCTGCATTATTTTTTAAAATATTTAACTGTCCTGGGACTTTTTTACCACCCTGTATAAATTATTATATTAATATATCGTTATGCAAAGTTTGTATCTTGGAAGAAATTTGACATCTTATTGTCTAGTGGAGATTGTAGCCGTTTTTCTTTTCTTTATAAAGATTAATTTTAGTGAAAAACATATCCTTTTATTCCTAATTACTTTACCCCTTATCAGAATTTTGACCATTTATAGTGTTGGTCAAAGCAATCCTAGTCCAGATACTATAATCATAGTCTTTGACCTGACCTCAATAATGTAGGGCTGTTCAAGTTAACAATGGCAGAACTAATTATAATTACGATGTCTGGCAACAATATGTGCTGTGACGTCACCCTGTCCCGTGTGAGACAATCTGTAAACACATAAAATAACTAACACACATCCATAGTAACATCATAAAACTTTATTTTTGAATCATATTTAATTTGTTAATAAGGTGTTTGTTAAATTCCGACAGTTTCAATTCCAGCAAACATTTTTATGTGTGACAAAATGATCCCATGACACCTGAGGACTATCCATTTTAAATTGGAAATTTACATTATTATGATTGTACTAATGTTTTACATAGTTGAAAACAGCATAAAAGACAACTTTAATTTTTGAATAAATAATATGTTTTTCTAATAATAAAATAAGACTGAGACTGGCAATACTTATTTCATGTAAAATCTTAAATTTTAAATTTCTGAACCCCTGAGATATATAATGGTTGTTTTTTTTCTGTGGGATTGGAACTAGTGAACCTGGTTTTGGTAACCTGTATTTAAAAAATACATTTGGTTTATCGTTGTTAGATACCAACGGGTTGTATGAAATCAATAGTGAACACCTTACGTGATTCCCTATATATGACAAATGTTATTTCGTTGCGGATTCTAACAAAGAATAATGATGTAAATCATTATACAATCAGATTTTGTATTTGTAATGGCATTGATTATCTATATTAAAAATTCTTGATAAACTTTCTACATAAGAGACGAAAACAAATATATGTTTAAGAAAGATTATCGGTAATTTAAAAAAGTGTATTTTACATGCCTAGCGAGAAAAACCATCTTAAAATATTGATTATATTTAATAAAGTCAAAATAAACAGCAAGTGGATTTGTGAACTTCTGAGTTGCTATTTTCGACTGAAACTTGCCAAGGTAAACACCACCAGGAACCGGTGTGTATTCTACACTTACACACACACACACACACACATTTATATATGTATTTATACATATATAAATTCGAACGAATGGTGTTTTGGTCACTGGGAACCTCAAAATGAAAAAAGATGGTCTCGGACACAGATCTTGTTACCATTAGAAATACGGTAATCACTGATTCCCTATACTGTAATTCATGAACGGAAGAATTGTTAAGTCAAAAATTCGACCCAAATTTTGGCACGTGATTCATTCATCTGCGATGAAATATATTCATTTTGATGGAGTATGACATTTTTAACGTTGCTGACTATTAGTTTCTAACCAAGTACAAAACAGCATTGATATCAAGTAAGAAAACTAATTGCAAACACATGCGCGTCATTAAATGGTATGGCGCACAACCATACATTTGTAGTATACAACACTTTAGAATCAATAATATTGATTTGTCATAAGCCACTAGATAATAAAGTGTATTGGTAGTTGTCATTAACGAGCAAAACGTACTACAATGTTAAACAATTACAACATAGATACATTAACACAGTTACCTGTACAGTTTATAATGGACAAAATTTACTGTTCACTGTTTTATGAACAGTTTATTTTTTTTATATTCAAAATGTAACCGTTTAATACCTTTGTCAGTTTCCTGGTAATATGGTGTTAAATATCTCTTGTTTGAAGGAATACACCAACATAAAAAACAACACTAGTAAATACCTGTAATGTGATGTGCATACGACCTATGCTAACGTTTATGATTTTCTTTCCACTTCTAGTGTGCAGTATAAATCAGCAATGCAAGTTCAAGGAATCTTTGAACATCTGTCATTTGTTTACTATATTTTCCGTTTGAGTTCGGGTTTGTGGCATTGTATTTTACAGTATAATAAAATATTGGAAAATTATACAAAACGAATAATATAATATGGTACACTCCAAGAACCTACCTAAAAATACTATACTAGTATACCTGAAAATACTGTATAATCATGTGCATAAAAGACAAGGACTGAAATAATAAGCATAATTAATTCATGAAATGCATATTTTAATGTCTTATGATTTCACAGTCAAGGGCACTAACAATTCATCTGATTGTTTTTACGTATATGAAGGATGTAAGATTCACTCATGATGAATTTCCAGTCAACAACCAACTTAAACCCTGAGCCGCTTTGTAAATCACGAAGGGTGGCCCCGCAATTGCCCCTGCTGAAGCCCATACCGGAGAGGTCACCACAAGTCCCCCTAGAACACCCAACGCAACCTTCGTCTCTGGCTCCAGTTTCCCTTCAACAACCCTCCCGTAAGAAGCTACCTCTACCCCTTTTTCTTCTGAAACCAAAAATACAAAATAATTATTTGATTGCATCAATAATTTTGCTACTGATTATTTATAACCATACAACTTATCTTGTTGTATAAGTTCTTTTAAGGATATTTCTGTCTTGGTGCTACCTAAGTTGTTAATTCCACACGACGTAAGCCCTCAAACTTTTACTTTTTTCGCATTTGGATAGTATATGTAGAAAGTATTGTTTTCGACGAAAAATTTTAGTTTGAGTTTTGGATGTAAATACACGTTTTGGGTAGCCCAGAACAGAATATTTTGTTTTCGAAGTGATTTGTGTGTGCGTGTGCGTGTGTGTGTGGGTGTGTGTAAGTGTGTGTGTGAGTGAGTGAGTCACAGAGAGGGATATTTCGGTGTTGTAACACTTCAGCCCAGTAACATTTTGGCCAAACTAACAGTAACACTTCATCCCACTCGCTTTTACAGTTGATTAAATAAGTTAATGTAATCAGATTTCGTCCAGACGAAAAATTGAAAAGGGTTGAGGAACGCAGTTCAGCTAGTAAGGGGACCATGTCCTGTATACTTTGCAACCACCCTATGAGGGAACGCCGTCCAACCGTTATCCTTTTGGAATCGGTGGAATCTCGCCCCCACCATCCTCTTTGATTACGACGGAAGACCTAACCTAAGCAAATCCAACCCAATGTCTTTTTTACTTTTTAAGTGCTTCTAGTTTTTCACTATCCTCCTATAGTGTTAGCAAAACAGGAGTGCCAATGGAGACCTGTGGTGGTGCGTGCGTTTGAAGGGACTTGACCTGGTCTCCATCGGCACTCTCCTTTTACTAACACTGTAAATAGTTATTAAAGACCTGTCAAATACTTTTTGGGACGAACTGTTATTAGTGAGCAGGTAGAGAGTTGGACCGCAAGCAACATCTTAGGAGTTCGGGCCGAAATGTTACTGGACGTAAGTGTTACTTGGGTCGAGGTGTTACGACGTGGATCTTTCTACCTCCGTTTCATTTCTTGGACTGGGGAGTGTTGGCATTTTTGGGCCCTTCAGTTGGTGCCCGGGCAATTGCGGACATAGAACATTGCGGACACATCATTAAAGCAGGCAACGGTGAACCCAAGGGATTGTATAATCTTCATTATTATGAGATGTTCAATAAATTTATATTAACATATTTTAATATTTTGTAGTTTTATTGTAATTTCGTCAATGCTTTTGATTGGGGCTGTAGAATCGTGAGAGAATCATTAAAAGTTATCGTTAGAGTCGGATTTCCTTTAGGCGTTTGGGCAAGGATTGATGTTATTCACCAAAAGAGCCTGATGATCCTGCGCTATTCTAACGGTAGCGGGGATTGATAGTCTTAAGGGAAATTATTTGCTACAATATTTTCCCAGCATTGCCTCCAGAATTGATTTATGACCAAATAAATAGGTTTACGTACCTTACGTCGTAAATCCTTTATTAGCCCGAGACTACAAAAGTGAGCGGTGACTACTTTAATACCACCGACGAATGTCACGACTCATTTTCAGTGTTTAAGTCTTGTATAGTAAGTGTTTTGCCATGTAACTGTTCGACGTTCCCCCAGTGATCTCTGTAGATCACGCACTTCTTCTTTATCCTTCCGGGAAATTGTCATAATTTCAGTGGTGTGCACACGATCAGCTTTGTATCGCTTTACATCCAAGTTATTTTCTAAAATTATGTTTTGTTACGGACGTTTTCTTCACCTGAGTGATAGATTTTTATCGATAGAATAAGTTAACGTTGCCGAGACTATCTCATGGGGCCCCGGAGGAGAGTCATCCGGCTTCCTTGAGCGTCGGCGGAGAGACTTACCATCCTGGCCTATTTTGGACTCTGGCCCATCTCCGCCCGGCTTCATGGATCCTCCGGTGTCGTCTGCCTGACCCGCCAAATCGTACTACCGCAAGTTGTTGTGCATGTGTTGATTGATTTTTATTTATTGTTGCCACCATGGACTGAGATACTTTATTTTCATCCATCCTGGTTGTTATTTATATAGATATTTATTTCATCGTTACTAAAATGGATCTTTAAGTTTATTATTTGTTATTTTGTTTCAAAAATGTATTCACTAGCCTATTTATTAATTATTAGATTTATTTATTCTACAATGGGGGCCCTTAAAATGTAAATTTTTGACAACTCCTATACCTTCCGCAAAGATTCGGGGCGGCTGAGGGATTAGGACGGTCGGGTGGTGTCCCAGCCCCTAAATTAGCCCTCGCTCCACTGCTCTGGGTTTTGACCACGAGTCACCCACTACGCTCAATGCATAGTTGGAAGAATTTTTGTATATCACCATAGTTTTGTAACCTGCGTCAAATAAGAAGAACGTTGAGCCCAAACACGAAATAATTGCGACGATATTAAGTATACATTTGGTTTTAAAATAATAGACAGTTTTCGTGTCGTGGTATGCTTAATATCATCGCAATTATTTCGTGTTTTGGCTTAATGTTCTTGTTGTTTGATGCAGGTTACAAAAATGACGTTATTCAATACACATTACGATGATATACAAACATTTTACAAACTATGCATTGAGCCCACTGGCTGACTCATTGTCAAACCCCGAGTGAATCGAACAGCCGAGTGAGGGCTAATTTAGGGACTGGGACACCACCCGACCGTCCTAATCCTTCAGCCGCCACGAATCTTTGCGGAAGGATTAAATTAATGATTAAAATGTAAATCTATTGTTAACTGTAATTAGTTGTTTTACTTAGCAGGAATTGTAAATTATTAGCTTTGAATTGAAATCTATTTTTGATAACTAAAGAAATGGCTGTGAGTAAGTAGGATGGATGAGGACTATAAATTTTAGAATTTCTGAAAAATCTTATTCACATGTATTATGGTCGATTGTTTGGTTTGTTGTTATTAATTGTTCATTACAACTCGCTTCTCTCAAATGGCACGTTGTTCTTAAACCTTCCTCCACGGTTTTTCCTGTTTGGTAAATTTTATGAGCCGCTCCTCGTCCAAGTCGTTTGCCTGGTTGCAAGTGTGAGGGCGTGGTTCAAAATAATTGATAACGAAAGGTACGTACACATATTTATTTTCTTTTAAAATATTTTGTTAAAGTATATTTATGTCTACAATGGTTTAGTTACTTACCAATTGGTCGATAGCGAGTACGTGTCTCGTCATTCCTGAGTGGAAGGCCATTCGGTGCACCTTTGGCTTCGTAGAAACCCTGGAAGATTAGAAAGTTTCTAGTATACAAAATATCTAAGAATCAGTTCTCTACGACTGTAGTAGTCATATAAATACTATACACTAATATATGTAACTGACTCACGGGCGATACAAATGTTTGAGCACTTCTAGAGGTGCTAGATAGATAAATAAGTCCTGAAGGAGCCAATCAAATAAAACTGTATAACTGCACGACAACTTATTACGCAATATAAATTTTATGTTTCCGACTATGTAAATATTTTTTCCTACAGTCACCTAACAATGTAAATGTTCTCTCACTGATTTGAGAAAGCAAAGTGGCCAATTCGCTCATCAGTGAGACAATGTTAACATTGTCTCACTTTAATTACTTTGTCTCACTCCAGATTTGCAACGTAAAGACACGAAATAGTGAGCGCGTAACATGCAGGCAACGTCGTATGCGCGCGAAATACGTTGGCAGCACTGGCTGTAAATCAGCTGGTCAGCTGTTGTACTGTTGTATTTGTCACTTCACATTAAATGTTATATTAAAAGTTCACTTCTGTTTAAAAATAGGTTATGTTTCTTCACCAATTTATTTGTTTTATGGTAACAGTAGGAAAATTATAATGTACAACTCGAGTTCAAAGTACAATTGCTTCACTCGAGAAACCATTCCTCACTCGCCTACGGCTCGTGAGTAAAAGGGTTTCTCTCGAGTGAGTCAATTGCTCACTTTTCTCACTAGTTGCACAAATAACTATATTTTGACAGATTCAGTAAATTTTGAAGGTCTTTGCAGCTGTTTCATAAAAAAGTAGTGTAAAATTATTCATATGGTCGTAATGTAAACAAATCTGGGGGAGAAACTTTAAAGACCACTGGGGCAGAGCCCCAAGAAAATTTACTTCGTTTCTCTTTTGATGGCTCATCTACAGACCAAGACCTTTCTTAAAACGCCCCTACCAAGTTTCTACGCCCAGCCGTTCTCTCAAATTAGCTGTGACAAAACCCCTGTTTTTCCTCCATAAGAATAATATGGGATGGGAATTTTAAAGGCCACTGAGGCAAAGCCCCAAGGGAATTTACCTCGTTTCTCTTTTGACGACTCATCTACTGACCAAGACCTTTCTTTAGACACCTCTAACGAGTTTTTTTTTTACGCCCAGCCTAATAAGAACAATATAACAAGAACAAAATAAGAGAAAAAATGTCTTATGAGGAATAAGGTCAAACGTGGCTTACTGAACTTTGGTATGCTAATCTGAACTGTTTAAAAACATACTAGGTATAAACTTTAAATTTTCCAAGGATGTAGTAAGCAGTTAAATAAGGCACTACCACCCAAGGGGGCAGAGCCCCCGGCCATTCAAAGGTGAGTTGAATATAAGTTCTATACCCTCTAATAGAGGTGCATCACGTGTGCAATTTTATACCATTTTTTCATTATTTAAGTAGTTTTTTTTATATATTTTATCCATGGGTGGTTTCTCTCTCACTCTTAAGTTCAAGCATCCCTGATGGTTATGATATGACATCAGTAAAATTGCTAGAGAAAACAACTAAAAAAAACACTATTTTGCAATTTACCCTATTTATTTAGTTTGCATGTCCATTAAGGTGCCTTTATAAAAAAAATCAATATTCATTTTAGAATTACTGGGAAAGTGATGTCCTTGCGTTTGTTGATGATGTGGTGGTTTTTGTAGAGTTAAGTAACCCTAAAAATGATCCTGATAAAAGGAGCTAACAATTTCGGACACAAATCAATCGAAATCAAACAAAATACACGTTGGAAGATAAGAATGAATAAAATAGATTAAAGAACCTTAAAGTGGAGGTATTTGAGTTATACGTTGAAATATACGTTGGAAGATAAGAATGAATAAAATAGATTAAAGAACCTTAAAGTGGAGGTATTGGAGTTTTACCTTGTTGATGAGTTAAACTAGCTTGGTTAGTAATCATAAACACTGCAGTAAAGAAAAAAAATTGAATCAAAAGTTAAATAACTTTGGCTTTATAACCTAATTTGCTAATCTAGTCAAAACTACAATATTAATGCTAAAATAAACAATACAGTTCAATAATTCACCCCGTACAACTGTATCGATCATAAATGAGAGCATTAATAAATAATCAATTGTTGTGAAAATAATCAAGGGGCGCGAATGAGAGCAAATAAAAATATGTATATATATATTTTACATACATACACGGAATTTTTAGCTCAGATTAAGACTAAAAGGCTGAGATGGGAAGCAGTATACTGCTTGGCACTCCAAGGCTGAGATGAGAACTTAAGAGCTAAATGATATTGAATCACTTGAACAACATCTGAGGTAAGTAGCCGAGGATAGGGAAGAATGAAGGGTTACCGTTGGCGAGACTAAAGATCTGCTTAGGTTGCATCTGATGTTAGGTAAGGTAACCTATAATTTATCCAAATCCGTATACAAATTTAAACTACCGTACAAGATTATGAAGTGTCTTAAAAATATAGCAATTCAGTACACATATATCACTGACATAAGAAAATTGATGGTTAAGTAGCAATGATTTCAAATTTATCCCATGTTATTTCATGAACTGTGAATGTTTTTTTCCAATTTTAATTATACTACAATACAATTTTTTTTATAACTATAGTAAACTTAAATCTATGGCTGTATATTTACCAAGATCAAAATGAAAGAAGAAACTAGAACCAAACGAATCATTTGTGGTTGGTGGCTCCAAGACTTGTAGAGAACTGTTTTAAAAGCTGAACGTTTTCGCGCACAACAATTTGCGCACACAGATATGTAACGTTCCTATTGGTTGTTCGAGGCAATCAATCAATCGAACAGGCATGTTAATTGCTGTTCTGTCATTTGCAAGCAACATGGCTGTTTAAACTGTCTATCTACTTTTAGGCTCACAAAAAAATAAATTTTAAAATAAAGATGTGAAAAAATTAGTTTATTTCACTATAATTTTACTAATAAAGTTACAAACATTATATAAAAATACGTCTATATAACACTCTTGAAACATGTAAGTGTAGATAATAGGCCACCCATGTTTCACGAGTAATATTAAACGTTTTTTAATTAATTTTTATAAATTTTACTTACGATCGATTTTTAAACTAGCCTTCTAAATTCAGTTCTCAGAATAGAAAAGATTTACTTTACACTATTGTGTACTTACTTTACAATATTGTTTTGTTACTTTACAGTACAAGTTTGGGCCAATGAGGTTCAAGAATTGAAAGAGAGAAAGAAAATTGTAATACTTCGAGAACGTCAATTGTTTAGCTGGTAGGACCAATTTGATTGGTTCAAACAATGAGTGAGTGCTTAGTCGTTGAATCAAAATCAGTCACAATGTGAGGTTATAAACGAAACGAAAACATAAGCTCTCTTGTGAGTTATGAGTAGTGATTTTTAGTAATTAAGAAACGGTCGTAGGTAAAGTAGTGTACACAACTCGCATAATTGAGTGGGGCGAACGAAGTGGGCTAAACACTACTACACTCGTGCTTTTGTTTTCCACATACGCCTCCTGAATGGCTAAAGTGATCCGGATGATCTTTTTCACGTTCAAATTAACCAATTATGGATAGGTATAGATCTGAAATGGTACAAATCGAACTTAAGGGCTTTTCTCTACGTGAATTTAAATGTTTAGAAATTTAACATGCACCTTAATTGTTTTTGGTCGCCATGACATTATTGTGAGATAACAATAAAATGGTAAACAAAAGAGATATGTTAGTCAACGAATCATCTAAGCTACCACATTACAAACATATAACAAAGGGGAAGAACAATAGGATTATTTAATATCGTTGAGTGTTTACTACAAAATGAATAACTGATGATGGTCACCGGAATTAGGCTAATAAACTATTAACTTTAGATACTCCAAATAGCCATTCCATTTATGTGAACCAAATATACTAAAGATACAGCAAGTAGACATCACATTGACGTAAACTAGAAGTACTATTGACTTTGGATACTGCAAATATCCATTCCCTTTATCTGAATCAAATGAACCATTGACTTTGGATAACGGCTAATAGACATTCCGAGTAAGTGAAACGGACGTACCATTAATAGCAAATAGGTATTTCATTTATGTAAACCGAATATACCATTGACTTGGAATACTGCAAGTAGAAATCGCATTGGAGTGAACAAAATGTAGCATTGACATCGGATACTGTTAGTAGACAAATTAATTATGAGAACCAAATGAACCATTGTCTTTGGATATACTGCAAGTAGACATTCCTTTTATGTGGACCAAATATACCAAATACTTTGGTGGCGACTTTGGATACTGTAAGTAGACATGCTAATTATATGAAGCAGATGTAATTGGCTTTGGAACAAACTGTAAGGAGGCATCTGGCTTAAGTTAACGTTGGATACTTCAAGTAGCCTATACATCCCTTTTACTAGATGTAGCATTGACTTTGGAAAGGTATTGGATCAATATGCTAGCTCCACTCAATATTGCAAGCAGACAATTACATCGTACACCTAGTTAGCCTCTACGACACTCGTAGACGTTTTAAAGGCACTCGCCAAGACTCTTTGTAGGGCCTACCTTTATGTCGTAAAGACAATACTTAGACGATTGCTGCGTAAACTACTATATACAAACCAGTGTTCCAGCTCTGACCACACATTGAAGAAGTAGAACTTAAGTCAGGTCTGCCTCAAAGAAGTATGGAGTAGGCCTAAGGGAGTATGGAAGTAAGAAGGTCATGGACCTATATTATATATTATACAAAAACCTTTACCAAATATATTTTAAATGCTAATACATACATGTATGCAGATGCTACTGCTATTGTGGTTGCCAAGAAAGACATTACAGAGGCTTAAAAATATATTCAGAGTGCGATAAATAACTTTGTTTGAATAGTGGCATGATAATGTTCTTATAATAAACGGCAGCAAATAAAAGGATATACATATTCATTCACCTGCTTTTCAGTGTTCCAAAGTAAATATTAAATAATATCGGTTGGACTTTTTACATAGCAACACTTACTCTTTAGTTGATTCGTGTAGTTGTAAAACTTTGGAAAATGTTAATAATTTTAAATATTTCGTAGAGTAAAGAAAAAACTTAAAGAAAAAACTTTTTTTTAAGACTCGGTTTAGGCATTTGGAAGCAAGTGTTGAAAACAACCGTACTGGCTACAGTTTCAATAAACATGTTATTTTCCAGAGATGCAATAATCCACACATTTTAAGTGACGCTAGGCCTACATTTTTACGCCATTTGTCAGTCAACGGTTGGCAGGTTAAACGGTATGACGTCTGCCAAGATTAATCAACGAATATTTGTTATCAACACCTGTGACATGAACGCAAATAAGTTTAACAGCAATACGTTCAACTAGAACGGTGATGTAAGTTAGTCCTTTATATACTATGAGTAAAGTTTTTGTACTTTACCATACCGTAAGTACTCCTTTGGTTGGGGACTGTTTATCTCACAATATTTTTAACGCGCCGGGGCCACCATCTTATCTCTTAATCGGCACCAAGAAACACATTTATACTTACGGCGTAACTGAGTTCTGCTTTAAAAATAAGTTCTCTATCAGTGCTATAAACATGAAAAATATGTTTTATTCACTATACGAGTACAAGCTTTGTAAAACTTTAACATGGGCTTATGAAATGCCATGTCACCATGATGGGTTTGCATAATCAATAAAAAATAATTGTACCGTATGTTCACATGGAGCAAAACAAAGACCAATCAGATCAACACCATGAGGCATATCCTATAGATCTCGAAAAAGGCTTAGACGATTTCTTTCTAATGTTGTAAATAATTTATATCTGGCCTAGGAACGTGTTTACTGCAGTTAGAACTACTACAGTCGCGGTCAAGTCTAGAGAATGAGTGAAGTCTAGCGGATGAACCTTTGGTAGAATCTAGTTTGAGTATGCCTAGGCCTAACTCTGGTGAGCGAAGGAAAGTAAGAAGGGGGAGCATGAGGGGTAGAAGTGATATTAAAACCAAACTCCAAACCTGTGATTGAATGTTCTACACCTCGACCACAACCACAATCTAACCAAGCTGTGCCTTTCACGCATGATATTTCTGTCATGAACACATCTAACAGCCAAGCTAAGCAACCTAAGCAATAGCACCTAAGTAAGTAAACCTATTCCTAATACGGAAAGGAGGAAGATTTCGATAGTATCAGATAGTCATGGCAAAGACTTAACAAGCTATTTGACTGTTTTGACACAGAATAAATTTAAATTCTAATTTTTTTCTCCGTGTGTACACCTAGTGCTAAACTAGTTGGTGTAGATGGACTTATCAAGCAGGTTAAGGGTATGTGTAGTGAAGACACGGTAGTAATTATAGACGGCAGTAACGAAATCTTCCAGGGAATGTCTTCGATTATCTCTAGTTAATTTAAGCAATTACTAAAATGCCTCAAGAAACTAGGGGTCCTAAGGTAATATTGATGAGACTGCCACCAAGACATGATGATTCGAGACTCAATTGGAAAATCAAGGAGTGCAATAAGGGACTGGATGAGGCTGACAACGTGACAAAAGACTTTAATTTCAACCTACTGGTAACGTTTATGGAAGGTTTTTTTACTAAACATAGGCAACACCTAAACAATTTAGGTAAATTATTATTGAGTAAGAATATATTTTCATGTGTGTAATAAAACTAGATAATAAGATTAACACAACTTCAAATAATCTGTCTTTTTTTAGAGAGAACGTCGTTACTCAGGGATTTTCATTGCCCGATAGGCCCACAGAAAAAAAAAACTATATCTAAAAATATCGGAAATAATATTTCAAATACATCAATACCCGGTATCATTGTTGCAAGTAAATCTGCAAAGTATTAGAAACAAACTGTTGGACCTTGAGCTTTTCTGTGGTGATCACAATATAGATGTAGTGTGCATTTCTGAGCACTGGCTACCCGTAGGAGAAATAGATTTTTACGCCCCTTGTGGATTTGTACCTGCAAGTTCTTTCTGTAAGAGAGTAATTAGAAATGGTGGAACTAGTATTTTTACTAAAAAATGAATTAATTTTAAGTAATTGATATAGATGTTTTTTGTAAATAAGTAGATTGTGAATTTAGTTGTGTGAGAATAGTTGAACGGAATTGTATAGTGATAAGATCGTATAGGTCCTCATTGGGTAACGTAGAAACATTCCTAGAAAACTTTGAATTTATTGGTTCTGACAAAATTCAATAGTTTGAGAGTTTTCTTAACCTTCTGAATGTCTTTACGTTTAACATGTCCTTTTAATATACCAACACACATGAATTATTGCATTATTAATATTCTTATCAATTTCACAAATGAGATGTACAAGGTTTGCTCAAATGAAGGTAATTTTTCTATTCATATTGTTCAAATTATCAATATAAAGTCAAACAAAAACACAAATATTGATAAAACTGCTAGGAATATCAATCCTGTCACTAAAGTATTCTTCCGGAAACAATCTGAGGAAAATATGAATCTTTTAAAGAGCAATTGCGCATTTACGAGGACATTTTTTACAAATATGTTGCAGGTAGAATTAATTTTGAAACTTTAGTTGATAAATCTTTTAAGCAATATGTAACACTTTGGCACACTTGTTCTCCTTTGGTGCATAAGAAAAACAAAAATAACAGAAAGCCTGCAAAACAGTTCAACGGTATTCATCATGCATACTTGGTTAAGGAAAGAGAGTTGATATTGAGTTTGTTCAGTATCTATAAGAGCTATACAAGTTGTT